TCTGTCCTATCAAGGGTAAGTCTCAGAGAGCCAGCGGAGTCAAGGGGAGGGGAAAGAGCCACATAAAAGTGTTACAGGGGCCCCACTGAAAGAATGTGGCTGGAATCTGGATGTAGGTCTTCTGCCCTCTTGTGGGGAAAAGGAAAGAGAATTAGGTGGAAAAAAACACATTAATCAAACTTGGCCTGTAATCCCCAACTTTTCCTACCAGGATGAGCTTTGGGAAGAATCGGGTGACTGTAAGGGTCATCGTCATGTCCTGCTGAGCACAGTGCAAGCTTGCCCTGAAAACCATTTTTATGTCCTCATGGCATTGCCATCTCTTCCTCAGCCCATACTGGAAATACTTGAAAATCATCTTTAGCTGTTGCAGTTTTAAAAGAGTGCCTTCTGTCTTCTTCCTACAACGTTGTGGTCGTTCGTTCTCAATGGGGTTGATGATGGGGTCTGGGGTGGGATGGGCACAGCCCCTTTAGCCACTTAGGGCTGTTGCATGCGTACCCCTCCCCTCTATTAAATGCCCTGTGCCCTCCATGACCCCATTGGCTTGGGTAGCAGGAGACAGGGGTCCCCACAGAGATGTCTGCCTGTGTAATGCCTGGCTAGCATTTCCCAAAGTGCTTGAAATGTCTCACACAGGTCCCTTTGAAGGTGCGCTAGACCTGTGTTTTTAAATGCAGGTTTAGTGTTCCCAATAGCAAGAACCTACGTGGCTCAGAGGAGGACTGATGGACCTGGAGGGGTTCCAGAGGGAGCTGGGGGCTGTTCCTAATGGTGCGCTGCACAGCCCATCCGAAGCCGTGGTTGCTGCCTGGAATCGAAGGGCGGCTCTGGCCTTGGATTGGATTGTGCACATGGACCCTCTCCCCTCCTGTGGATCCCATCATTCCCTGTGGTTTACAGAGGGGTTGAGGAAGAGGAAATGAGAGAAGACTAGAGCATCGCTGGTGAACGTCTAATGACGAACTGGACAGAACACAGGTCAGAGCTGCTATTAAGGTCTACCAAGTGGCATTAAGGGCGGTGAAGCGACAGCACTCCCCGACCTTATTGCATCCAGAGCTTGCCACCCTCCAGCCCCTTTGAGGTGATAAAGACCCTCTTGGGTACAGGGGGCCCAGGCAACCTTTTGCAGGGTTCTGCAGTGGAATTTGCTTAGCATCTGCAGGATAAAATCTCTTGGATTCATTCAGTCTTGGACGCTGCCTTTGCTGTAGGTCTGAGGGAGATGACCAGGGTGGAGTCTTGCCCGGTTACCTGGGAGCAGTTTCAACCTGTTGCAACTGAGAAAGTGGACAGGGTCCTTAGGACTGTGAGATCAGCCACCCACTCTCTACAAACATGCTCCTCGTGGCTTATGAAACATCAAAATCCAAAGGGATTTGGGGCATTGAAAAAGAAATAATTTCTTAAAATAAGAATGTTTCATTTTGCAGGTCTCATGGATGCCTGACTATCACCTGGCTTATACAATGGCCTAATAAAAGGTTTAGGATATAATTTAGTACTTGTCCTGTAGGACAGATTGGAGGACCAGCCTTTCTGGTCCTATTTCCTTCCTAAAGCCGGACAAGTTGTCAGTCATCTCTACAGCTGATGGACACCAGCTTTTCCATCTACAGCTTTTCAGAAGATTGTTCTCACCCAGCTTGATGCTTCTTCTCAGCCTGCTTTGATCTCCGCCAACCAGACCAGAGGAATGTGTCCTCCAGAGAAGCACACACAATACAGTCACCCACGAAACTTCAGAAGAACTGAGGTTTCGGTTGCGAGATCCCCCCCTCCTGCAGCACTGTGCCTCCACAGCACAGACGTAGTCTCCTACGTCCTGAAGCTGAGCTCTAGGACGAAACAAGTTGCTTTCTTTCCCATTCAGCAGATAATCTGCCATGAAGCCAT